TGAGGGGGACAGAAGAGCCTGTAGATTTCCCTGCCACAAAGTCTGTGGTGCAAGCGCAGGGAGAGATTTCACAGAAGAAATTTAGCAGCATTATTTGAGTCTCCAGCAGATGCTGAGGAAAGGGAAACTGTTTCTTAGGAGTCCAGGGCCACAAGCGTACTTTTTGGTTGCATAAGAAAACATGGTTTTTTTAAATATTCATTATTTAGTGAAGAAAAAATCAATGGCTTCACTGCTGAGCACAAGTTTGTTTGTTGACTGTGACATTTTTTCTGTCAGTTTCTCTAGTATTTGCAAAAGAAAAAAGTTCACTTCAGTTTCTGCTCACTTTGATCTATAATCTTTGAATAAATGTTTTCTATTTCCCATAGCAGAGTTTCCTCACTAAATCACCACCAGTATTCCAAAACTGAAGGCAAAATTCAGCAATTTTAAAGATGGCAACACTAGCTACATGCTTGCAGTCAGTAAATCAATTGCTTGTGAGCTGAAGCATATTGTACAGCACGAGTGGCAGTCGGATTTAAAGCCTTACATCCCAGTCCACCATCTAAAGAATGCTCCCAGGCTGAAAAACATCTTGAAGCAAGCAATGGCTTTTTCCCTAACTCATCAAAAACTTACAGAATCAGGGCTTGTTTTTATTTAAGAAGCAAACCATTAAAAGTTTAGATTTCGGTTTGCTGAGCAGAAGTTGAGAAAGACCGTGATCTCCGAGAAGGCTCCATTACACCCACGCGCTGGCGAAGAGAGCAGAGAAACGGTGGCTCAGGCAAGGACCACTGCTGGCCCATCCCTGCCCAAGATGCTCATCCTTTTCCTTCTTCTGTCCCCTCTTTTAACCTAACAGCCCTTTCCTCTCACCACCAGCAGTTTCTCAGTAGTTTGTTCAGTGTATTTGGAAGCATGGGTGTTTCTTAGGAAGCAGAGAGTGCTCTCCAGGTAGAAAAACTGGGGCTGCTGCGATAGCTGCAAGCACTGAAGCCAGGAGTACTCAGAAACGGTCCCTTCTTTGCTATTTACCAAGATGCATCTGAGCTATGCAAATTTCACGATCAAACAAATGTACGCTGCACACTGTTTCCTTACACGGAAGCGTGTCTGCAGGAAGCAGATTTGGCTACAGCAGCCACACTTACCGACGGGCGCTTCTGCCAGTTAATTTGGGCAGGTCGTCTTCACATGCAGCTATCATGGGCCTTTGGATAATTTCTTCACATCTGATCTGACCAAGAACTTGTGTTTTACTTAATTCAGCTGTGATTCAAAGCTGGGTAATTTGGGATTCTGCTGCTTTCAGACCAAAACACTGAAGATTCAGCCATGGGAGACCCAGAACCAAGTGGTATGTGATGGCATTTGAAACAACCTTTTATATTTTTTGTAATGTAAGCTTTTGGGGCATGGTATGACATATGACACAGATCAGCCTGTAAGCCACCTAGGAAATATGACTGCTAAAAACAGCTGTAAGTTCCTCTAACTGGGGTTTCCATGAAGATCCCAACTGTTCACTTCTCTAAGTCTTTCTCTGAGAGATGAAGTTGTTTGATGCATTTGTACTGGACACTGACTTATGTAAGAGGAAAGGATGCAGACCCCCTTTTCAGGAGGCAGAATGTGCAGCGTTTTCTCTTAAGAGATTGGAAGTACATAATGCTGGTACTTGCACATCATCAGCCTAAGTCCCTCCGAAAAAAATTTTCTATAAGTCCTTTTTCTCAAAGGTGACAACCCTATTTATGAACATAATGAGTTTAAATCGGAGTAACACTTACCAGTCGAGCATCTAAGAGGTCTCTGTACTACCTGGGAGCACAAATCCCTCCTCCCAGAGCCCCACATTCAACAGGGGCTGGTCCCTGGTGCTTCAGGGAGAGGTGGGGCGGGGGGGAAGCTCACTGGCTCTGTAATCAAGGAAACACAGCAAGCAACATTAGTCCTTTCCCTGCTGCCACATTCAAATGCGTTGTTATCCCTGTAGCTAGAAAGCTCTTTACTTCAGCTGGTCTTTCAGCAGCTGGATCTTGTCATGTCTTTGTCATGAAATTTGAAAAACCATTAGCAGAATTTCTATAGCTCATGATCATACACAGAGATAGTTTAAGGATGTCTCAATGTCTGTCATAAACTAAGTTGAGCTTGTTTAGGAACTCTATTGAGAGACTAGTTTTCTGCCCACTCTTGCCCTACAGAATGTTTTTGTGTCTTCAGCAACATCTGCACAACCCTTTGTCAGAACTGACACTAACATTTAACGTGCTCATGATCCAGCGTTGCATGCAGCAGCAAAAGCAGAGCCTATTTCTGCTCAATGTTCCCCTTTTGTACATAGCCAGAGCTTGCAGAGGTCCTCTTTCTGCAACATTGCATGTGAAGCTCGTATTAGGCAACTACCCATTGTGTCCACCACTGCTTTTCAGGGCAGAGACTTCCAGACTAGTGATATAATAGCTGCACTTAATTTGTGGATGTTCAGCTATATGCTGCAGTGGAAGCATAACCATTTCTGAGGCCACTTAAAGACTCTGTAATAAATAGCTGCCTTACTTCTTGGCCTACCATCTTGGTCTCATCAAGCACTTTACCAGGAGAGATGATGATACAAGTCTGATCATTTAATAAACCCACCAAAGAGCAGGAATCTGTTTCTGAGATCCTTCTAGAAACAACCCTATACATTGATTAAAGATGTATTTTGAGGTTTGTCAGTGAAACAGTTTTTAATGTGTAACCAAGAATACCATTCAGAACATGACATGACTGTAAAAGTCAAATGCCCTTGATATATCCAGGTGTGCCGTATCCACAGAGTGCCTTTTATTAACAAAATCTCATCTGTTAAGGAGAAGGAGGCTTATTTGACAGCTCTTTTGCAATACAAAGATGACTGGTATAAATGATTTTGTTCAGTCTTATTTTTTAAGCCAATAAGTGTCCTAGATTCACCCTTCTGTTGCTAATTGAGAGGGTTCTTTTACTGTTTTCCAGTACTGGGAGCATCTGCTGTGCTTCATTGTCAGTCTAAATTCTTCCTACCATTGCTAACCTTTCCTTATTCTTTCTTATCAAAGAAATGAACAGCCAGAAGTTTAATGTAGTTGTACTTTTCTTACTTAAAAAGCAAGGTTTATTAGCTAAGAACTGCAGGGGGCTGCCATCTATCAAGGCAAGTCTGTTTTACTAATATTTTCCTCTAAAGCTGGCAATCGCCTCATTTTTATTTTGCAAACTAAATGCACCTGTGCTCAGTTTCTGCTGTCAGACATCTCAAAGATTTGCTGCGTGCTCACCTTTTTCAATGAATTGATGTATTAAGTGGAAATTCCCCTTCCTCCCCCTGACATGTTTAATTAATCCCCTCATTAATACATACTACTATTTTAGACAACTGACCTTGCTAGTATTTCCTGTCAGTTGTGGGTGATCGCACTGTTTGGTAGTGGTTCCGACCTCCTCAAAAATTAGCTGATTTGTAAATTCAGTTTTTGCCAGGACCTTTGTTCCACTGAAGCAGGAAGAGAAGATGAGAAATCAGAGTGACAGATGGGAAGCAGTCTTGGTTTTGCGAAACCATTGTCAAGGAACTTGGATTATTTTGTTCCAAAACTGTTATTCCTCACATAGAAATGCTGATCTGGGCAGCTGGAGCAGCGTCCTTTGCTGCCAGCCATAACTGGAGTCTCACTGAGGGATGTCTTGGTTAAAGAGGGAAGATTTCCTGCAGGAGTGGCAGACAACAATTTGAGAGTTTTCAGACTCATTTGGTTCAAACCATGTCATGGCTTAGCAAGCAGGGGATTTTACACAGATGCTGCTAAGAAGTGTGCGCCATTTTATGCAGAAACGGGAGATTTGCCCCGGTGGAAAAATTCAGATGTTGTTTTGCAAAGCGCAAGACTGAGCGCAGAGAAGAGGAAGGCGCTACCGGGAACAGGCTTGTGATACCAAGGTTGGCAACGGTGCCACGCTTTGAATTAGGGTTTTAGACATTTATCTCATTTCACGGTAACTGCGGCTGAAAGGGAAGTGATGCTTCTGCTGAATGGCAGAACAAGAGCTTGTCCTGCTAAAAATATCCTCAACGCTTTGCACACCCACCACTGTGGGAGCTTGCTCTCCCTGTAACGCCAGCAAAAGGAGAAAAGAGTGGTGAGCTTTCCAGAAAGTAGATGATATAGATGACAGTCTTGTCCATCCAAGGATGGGGCAGAACTTCGCACAACAGCTGGCCGGCTCCAGTGCGAGAGTTGGCCGTGCAGGGATGCTCCCCTTTAGGATGCAGGTCTAGTGCCAATGCTGGAAGAGGTTTCTGCTGGAATTGTCTAAGATAAGAAGAAAAAGGATACACTGTCCTTCAAGAAACATAGATGGTTTTTAATCTCCAGAAGACTGAGTTTCTAGATCAGCCTTCCAGTTGTCATTAGGTTGTCCAGTAAGATAACTGGCTTTAAACTGAAGCATCCATTTGTAAATAAGGCTGCAGAGCTGTAGTGAACGGACAAAGGACTGAGCCAGAGTCTCCTCCAGGCCTGTGGTCCTATATCCCAGCGCCGCAGCAGATGCTCTGCTACCTAATCCTCACTGGTCAAAGGAAAGGGCTTTCAGCAGGATTTGAAAGATGTATTAGTTTATGGATATTTCTGGGAGCCTCTGCAAGCCTGCCAGGCACAGGAGCTCCATTCTCTTTCTAGTACAGGAAAATGTATACAGATGTTTACATATTTAGCAGGTGGGCAATCGGGAGTGCACAGTTCATCAGGAAGGGACATCTTGAAGGTGTCCAACAGATGGCTGACTGATGACAGCTGTGACAGCAAAGAGCAATACATTTGAGGCAATTCATTTCCTTGATGAGATACATATGAGGCACATGAATCATTTGGCCCAGACCTGCACATGCCAAAAAGCCACTCAAAAGACTTCAAATAGATGGGACAAATTGGTGCTGCCCTTGAATGACACAGGGGCTGCATACAAGGAGACACATGTTTAAACTTGTGAGAATGCAGCTAATAACATCAGCTACAGCAAGGCTAGGGAAACTTTTTATGACCAATTTTTCCACCTTCCTACTTTTATAGTATTACATATAATATTATCTTAGTGAGATGAAGCAAAAGACTTGTGAGAACCTGAGGTTCTTGCTTATCTTACAGTGCCTCACAATAGCTGCTTTCAAAAACAGAATGTTTCATTTTGCCCATCACCAGTGCTGCTCAAGTTGAGTCACTTCTTCCTATTGTACAATCCTCTGCTAGTGGTAAACAAGAGAAATTAAAGCTGTCCATCTGCTCCTGCAAAGTAATAAGAGTCATTAGGATTCACATTAAATTAGTATGCCTTGGATTTGTTACGTCTTGGATTATGAACAACTTTTGTCTCTTACAGAAAAAACAGAATGAGATGTTTGGTAAACTGCCTGTCTGAGGTCACCCACCAAGTGCGAAATGTTGATTTATCACGATTAAGCAGGATAGGCACTGGGTACAGTTTGCAGTCCTTTATTAGCATCACTGGTGCTTTTAAATCCCTTCCCCAGGTCCTCCAAGCGTGGCAGGCCAGTCTGAGCGGTTCTTTGCAGTTCCTTCAGACCTCAGTGGCTTATGTTTTACAAGAAAAGCGTGTCTTCACACATTTTCAGTGTCTTGTTTCACTTTGGAGTAAAACGTTCGTTCAGAAAACTTTTAAAGAACAAGGCCAGCATAAATATTAGTTATCTGCTCAGAAAAGGCAAGTAAGCTAGGAGCGTTCCCAGCTCATTTCTTGATGCAGAAGGGAACGCAGCATCTGGCCCATGCTGCTCAGCGCTGACTGTAAGTGGAATTGCAGCTTCAGTGTCCCACCCAACCTTCTTCACAGTTATTTCTATTTTTAAGCTGATGATAGGGTTAGACTGGTTGATGTTCATGACCTGGACACTGTAACTATATGATTGTCAGACAGCACTTTCATCTGACACCAAACAAGGAGATTTGTGGAAAAAAATGCCCAATACTTCCTGGTCTTTCTCTTAATTGTACGTTCAAATACTTTCTCCACATGGTTTGGCATCTTTACATAGTTAAAAAAAACCCATATGCATACATACATGCTCAAAGTCTCCCTTATTATCAGTACAGACAAGCCAGTCTCTTGCTCTTCTGCACCATTTTGGCTGGAAGATGACCAGGATTGTACCGCTCCCCCAGCAAGTGCCCAGGAGCTGGGTCTTCCCCCACGTGCTGGGAGTTTCCCAGAGTCATTGGCCTCTCTCAAAGACAATGTGGCTCTGCAAATCTGGGGTCAGCAATGGTGCGATGCTGTTTATAGGCTTAATGGCAGGCCAGCTCCTAATCAAAACTTGACTTGAAAAATTTGTATTTTTCAGGACTGAGACAAGGCCCAGGAGTAGCTATAACTAAATGAGACAAAACCTCACTTTTCTACCCACCATCATTTGAGCAACATTTACAAGTACTTGCTCACTGTCAAAAAGTCAACTATCAGTGAAGCAACTCTAGATTTAGGTCAACCACATCCTGTTTCCTGGAATGTCAAAAGGACAAAGAAGAGTGAAGTTTTCTTTTGTTTTTTTTTTTTTTTTTACCAATTGTGCCCCATTTCATATTTTAAAACATTTTTCCTTTTTTTTTTTCAGCAACTTTCAGCCTGAGTCAATTTTAGTTTCAGCCCTCAGTGACAAACACATGACAGAGTGGAAAGTGAGATTAACGGCATCAATAACCCCATGTAAAATGCATGTGTGCGCCTCCGCCCTGCGGGCAAAATACGCTTAGACCTTACAGAGGTGCGTGGCAGGAGTGCATTGCCCCTCAAGTGGGGACAAGCCCGTTTTATACTTTGCATGCCCAATAATTTGTACCTGCTGGGGGCTGAATCAGCTGCAGGATTTCATAATGTAGATTATCACCATAAATAAGCACGTACAATATTGAGAAATGGTCCCCGCACATAAAACATTGCGACACACACATGATGCGCAAGGAACAGGCAACTTCTGCAACACAGCCCAGCCCATGCACCACTGGACTGCAGCAATGCCGGCTGTTTTCTATGCACATGGTTCTGCTGACACAGGTTGTACAGCGTGCACGTGGGTTTGATCGAGGTGCAGGGCATGCCACTGCATCCCGTGAGCCCCTCCACCAGGTCTGCCAGTACCAAACTAAGGACAGTGGCGTGACTTCAGCTCAGAGTGGCTACGATAAAGGTTTCTGCCCAGTTTCCACAGCTGATCTCTGGTCTGATTGCAAGCCCTAAAACTAGCTTAGATGTCTCCCCTGGACATCTGCAGACTCATTTTCTGGGGGTTCTGCCCAAGGAACCTCGATGAGTTTACTGTTCCTAAGGTTTTTTTTCAAATCTCATCTCGCCCTCAAGCTCACCTTGCTGTGCTTTGCCAGGCCATCGCAGTTTGTCGCTTCCCTGTGAATCTGCACAGGACAGCAGGGCTCAGCCACGCTCCCCTGCACGTCTAGAAACCATCCTGCTGACCTTGGGGAGCTTTGGGTCAGGCATTTCAGTGAAATGATTTCTTCTCCAACTCCAGGTCTGGACAATCAAGAGAGGACACCTGAAAATAGGAAGCGGTACAGTGAGATATTCCGGAGCCTGGATGCCATAGAAATCTCAATTGGAAATGCGTATGTAGAGAAACAGGGCTGAACTAGTTTTCTGGGTCTTTGGAACCTTAATTTATTTCATTGCATTCTTTTTGACTATACAGGACGGTTGATATGTTCATTGGTGATGCTGACAGCACTGATGACATGGACCTGACCACAGAAAAAGAGGTTGTTCCGGTAGGCAAAGAATGAGATCCATTTTATTAAAGAAATTACCGATGTCCATTGCCAAAGTGCATGATTGTATGTTATTAAAGTTGGGGTTTGGGTGATCATCTGAAAAAAAATAGTTACAGCTCTTACTTGAATAGACAGAAAAGAACTGTACAACACTTGGTTATAACAATGATGGAGGTGGCAACAGAGCAGATAATATTTAGTGGAAACGCTCAGGCATTTACTGTCTGGATTTATATTTTTCTGAAAAACAAGATGTGGAAATTGCTGGTTTAAGTTCTGTGTGCTAAGAAAAAGATCAGACAAGACAGCAAACCCAGAATACATTTGAGAGTCATGCATCAAAAATCTCTAAAATTTTGGCCTTAAGGAGACCTTCAAAATAGAACTTAATGTTTTTTTCGCTTACTTTCGGCAGTATGGGACTTTTGGGGATTATCAGCCTCATTTCACGCTTTTTGTATAAACAAAGGATCTAGGAACTTAATTTTTCTCTGACAGCAACTGTTCTCATGTAATCATATTATCCCGTGAGCTAAACTTAAAGATAAAAATCAAATATTTTGTGATTTGTAGTAAAACAAGAGCTGCCAGCATTCAGTCTTGCAGCCCTTTTCCAGCTTTGATCTCTCTGCCCTAATCATATGTTTCCTCCATGTTTCTGCCTGTGGTAGGCTTTTATACCATGCTACCTTCCCTCTGTCAAATCTCAGGCTACTATTTTAACTGCACTGAGTTGCTTAGCTAAGCAAAATCGGCACTCCAGCTGGCCTCTTTGAAAAATCCTCCAATTTCTGAATACTCATTTTTCTTTCAGCATTTTCCTCTTTTTTTCTCTCCCCCCACAGCTCAGTGAAAGTTTCTGCAAGAGCAAAACCAGTTCAGAGAGACAAGTGCAGGCAGACATAACAGGTAACATTGCTAATTAAAAATCAAAGAGGTGACATAAGAACACTTAGTCAGTCACCTGGCAACAGTCCTGGCAGCGTTCTAATGACATGGATGAATAATGCCGGTGTCTCCGCTGGCATCGGTCTCAAGCTGAGCTAGGGCTGATGCCCAGCAAGGATGCGGATGCCTGTTTGAGCTCAGCAGTCCCACTGCTTCCTCCAGCACGCGGATCTTCCCCTGTTCATCCATTAACATCTCGTTAGGGAGCTTCTCATGAGGTCTTGGTTTTTAAATACTGAGACATCAATTCCCAAATGTCTGCTGGTTTTAAGCACAGTAAAGACCAACCCAGTGAAACTTGGGATACTCTGAAACACTTTGTGACCTGCTGGGAGGGTTCTTACCAGCTCTGTACTTGTCACTGGCATCATAAAATGCAACATAAAATTGTTTTTTCTTCATATAAAGTCCATATGAAGAAAAAAAAATTCTAAGCTGCTTTCTCACAGATTTCAGCTTGAAATGTGCTTCAATTTGCTCACCACAGTGTGGTGAATCCGTATTAGGTTCCACTAAGGAATAAGAATACTTCCTGCAACTCCCCAGTAACCCATTAGGTCCTTCACTTCTGTATTTCAAAACAAACTGAATAAAAATATTTCATTAAAAGCAGAGGGCAGAGGAACATACATGTCTAAATTACCTGGAACTTGTGTGGTTCCATGGGCAGGACTGCATGGGGTCGCCATGAAGTAGATCATGATGACATTGTTCAGTGAAAGACCTTTTTTATGGCTGTTATCTGAGTATTTCACAGCACCAACTCTTGAGACTCCAATTTTGCCACTCTTGGGGGAGCCCATCAGCCAGAGCCATTCTGAACCTGGATTTATTCTGTTGCAGTTCAGGAGGCAGACGAAATGCTGATAAAATGTGAAGGCGGCATTGACGCAGCCCTCGAATATGCCAAAATGTGGTGTAAATACGTCAAAGAGCTTCTCAGCTGGATTGAGAAACGTCTGAGTTACGGTGAGCTTGTGCACAGAACCAGCTGGGAGTCCGTACACTTTTTGATAGCTTTTTTTTTTTTTAAATCATAGCTGAGAACACACAGTTGCAAGCAAAAGTATACAGGTTAGAAACTGGCCAAACGCCAACCCCTTTTGGTTGCTTTTGCCTGATGACAAAGACATGGGGTCAGAATTTCTTCTTCCCTGAATGGTCCTAATTGACTGGAATGACCTCTGGCTTTGACAAACCCACCTCTGTGACCGTGAATCTGGTGTCTAATTCACTCTGCCCTTCTACAGAGACAGAGTTTGCCAAAGGGATGGTGAAGATAGCAGAATCAGGACGAAATGCCATCTTCCACCAGGTATGGGTCCTAGCGATGTTCCTACTTCACTGCACGGGGTTCCCTTTGGAGGAGGATGGGAGTCCTATGCAGAGCAAATGTGAGGCTGTCTGCACATGTGAACCACTTGTAGAGTCCAGCTTAAATCCTACAGCAATCCTAAATCCTGCCTCCAGAGCCATTCCTAAATGTCTCAGTAGAGGAACAGTTCCTTTTTTTTTTTTCCAAGGGCTTATAACACGGAGTAATTGTTTGGACAATTAGATATTCAGCAAGGCAAGGCATGGAGTCAGCACAATACTGCCCAGCATAAAAACCTTTCTGCTTCCAGCATCCTACTATTTGTGTTGTCTGAAATAACTCCCCTTCATTTAACCAGTGTAGACACTCTCACTTTTCCGTAATAGATTTCAGTCATACCTACCAAAAGCTCTTTAATTTAGGAAAGCTGCAGTGATTATCCATCATTTTATATCTGCTTTTTTGGTTTCTGCAGCACAACATGCCTCTTCGGGCGCTCTATACAATGGTCCTGGAACATGACATAAAGGTTGGAAATTCAGCTACTGAGACTGCAGGATTGCTCCAACAGAAGGAATTCTACCAGGTACTGCATTTCTCTGTGGATTAGACAAATTTGCTGAAAGATTAGATAGGAGGATCACAGAGACCTAATGAAGTGATATATCCTGGTCCAGGGGGTGGAGGGGATAAGAGAATGAAATGCACACCAAGTTTAAGGGAAAAAGAGGCATCTTGCAAGGCTTGCTTTCTAATGTCACGCCCCCATCTGTTGGATCCTTTTTCCTGCCTCATGAGGAACTGTTGCCATCCTAACTATTATTCCTCGGCAGCCTCTGTCAGCTAAGAAGAATGAAATTGAGAAATGGAGGAAAGAATTCAAAGATCAGTGGACAAAGGAGCAAAAGAGAATGGTAAGAGGCCGATACATGGGCCTGACCTTCATACCAGTCACGGCTCAAAACACTGAAAACAAAAGTTTATGGACAAGCAGTAACTAAATAACGTAATATGCATCCTGCTATCGAATAAAACTACTCTAGAGTACAAGGCGGGAGTGCTGCCAGCATTCCTGTGCCATCCTGCCTGTGCTGCCTGCTGGATCCCATCACGTCCTGCCAACTGCAGAGGCTGGCAGAACGAGGAGGCAGCTTGGGTTTGCACGCGCTGGCACTAGGCTGTCTTCAGCCAAGAGGGATCCCCTGCAAAGGCAGGCTCTGTGCCTGTGACCCCTCTACCAAAACCCAGCTGCACAAACTCTGCTACCACTTCATCATCAGCCTTTTTCTCCAGGGATTCCTGCTGGGGAGGAAGATGTTCCTGGGCACCTTGCAGAACATGACGCAGGATGGCCAGGTCTCTACGCAGCTGTAGAGGAAACCCAGGGGCTCCCTTAGAGCTCCTGAACTTTGGGAGAAGGGGGAGAGAGAATACTGACCTCCGTTTGAATGATAATACCCATTTGAACCCAGAGACAGGCACTTCCCTTATAAGCAGAGTACTGCTGTGACTTGTTCTTCCCACTGCCTTGCTAGGCTTCCTAAACCTGTTCCTTTCCCTATTCAAGAATGAGTCCTTGTCATCCCTGCGCAAGTCCCGCCTGCAATACATTCAGCGCTGCGAGGAGCTGGAGAAAGCAAAGCACTTGAGTGCCAAGGCAGAGGACGAATACCAGAGCGCAGCTATCACCAACCCCGGCAGTGCCAACAAGCAGCTGGAGAAGCGACGCCGTTCTTGCGAGGAGGCACAAGCCAAGGTGATGAGTTCAGACCAGGCTGCTGGTATTCCCAGTCATCCCACGCACCATGTTATGGCATCTTCTCACCCGTCTTGGTGACTTTGTCCTCCTTTGCTCCATTTCTGGTCATGCACAGGTTCAGGAAGCAGAAGCTTTGTACAAGATGTGCATCAGCGATGCCAACTTTCGGCGACAAGAACTGGAGAAAGTGCGAGCACGGATCGTCTCGCATATTCGGAAGCTCATTTACCAAGGGGATGAGGTCCTGACGTGGGTACGTGTAGTCTCAGTTTCTCCTCCAATCCTCCTTTCAGGGAAACTGCTGTTTGGGATAAGACTTCTAGACTCTTCACCATTTCACTGTTGAGCCACCCTATAACTGACCATTCTCAAGCAGCTGAAATTAGGGGAGTGCTCTGGACATTGCTTTGCTACCAACCTGCTACCAAAAAATCTGAGATATATAATCACATTTTCAATTGCTACTGCTTTGAGGATGCAGATGTCCGTAGAAAAGGTCTAGGGGGAAAAAATCCTAGAACAAGAAACAGTGGCAAATAATTTATCTGACCTGTTAAGTAGAACTATCAATAACCAGAAGTGCAGGTAACCAAGTTTGGGTAATGAAAAACTGAAGACTGGTGAATGACTGTGAGATCCAAGGGAGGAAAAAGCACCTGGGCTTTGACTAGCAATGTGGTTTTTGTTTTCTTTCCCTTGTAAGGTCACTTTAAGGATGTTCAAGCAACGGCAGACTCAGTCAGAACAGATTCCAGTGGGATACCAGTACCTGTCCGAGGTCTGCAAGCCATACAAAGCAGGCGAGAAATACCTGGAATTCATTCAGGCTCTGCAGAAGAAAGACATTCATATGGAAGTGTTTGAATTCGAGCCATTTACTTCCGGAGGGCAGAGGTAAAACAAAAAGTGGAAAACCCACATCCTAGCTGAAAGGTCAGAAATATATCATGCACAGAACAACAACAACATTTAAAACACATTTATAAATTCACTAGCAACGCTGCAGCATTATGATTGCTAATTACGGAAAAGCCCACAGCCTCAGATGTTAGGATCTTTTCTCTCTGCATAGCTCCGCTAATAAAGAACAAATATCTAAAGATGCACCTGGTTCCTTCTGCTGAACACAGGACCAACATCAGTGAAATGAAGGCAGCAGTTTTGTACCACGTCCCTTCAGTTATTTCTACCATTTGGCAAAGATTTGGATTGCTCTTTTCTCACGTGGGTGCTGTTTGATATCTAAATTTTTCCTGTGGATAGAAAAGGTGAAGTTATATTGAACAAATTTGTTTTCCTAGTTTGGTGCAAGTGTTTATTATAGCCTCCTTGAAAACTCAGCTTACACCTGTAAGCTGCCTGAAACAGATGCTTTGTCTCAGGTACTCATAAGGCACCTCGGTGATGCAATATTGTCTGTTATTCTTCACTGCTGGAAAATTGATAGCAACCCCTTCTCAGGTCCCCTCCCAGTGGCAAAAAGAAGATGGCATTGCATTACACAGGACCCTTTTCTGCAGCAAAGGACACAAGCATGCCAGAAGATACATCCAGAAAACAGTTATCCACAAACGGTGAACACAGTAGGTTGAATTTAATAAAGATGACCCGATTTTCTCTCAAGTCACTGTAGTTTAATTTAGATTAGTAGCCAAAGAGGTGGGAGAGGTTCTCAAATTCTTAGGGCAGTGCTTAAGGCTTTGCTCAGAATGGGAGAAAACATTGACAAGTATTTATGGATTTTCTTGGGAGTTTGGTGTGGACTTCAACCCCGTGTTGAAGTATCCTGAGAGTGCTTGGGATGGTCTGTCATCGTATCCACCTTCCGCAGGTGCAAACAAATCCCTCTGCAGCGACACAGAAAGCCTTGGTGGGAGTTGTGAATCCCGGTCCCTGGACTCTCCCAATTCTAGCCCAGGTGAGAGCTGCAGAAATTCTTGCCTAATATTGCCCCAAAACCTAAAACGGGAATAAAGTCTGCACTGACCCACTTTGTGTATCATGAGGATGAGAACAGCTGTTTATATTTTCTCTCTTCTCAAGGAAACTCTAATAGGAAATTGTTGAAAGCTCCATCCACCAGCACCATGTCCTCCTCAGATGATTTTGAAGAGAGAGATTCCTTGCAAACTTTTGAAAATGGTGAGCCACACACATATTTGACTCACTAGGTGGAAACCGTGCTTACGTATCTGTTCCTTTTCACGCTTTAATGCTGTTTCCACAGAAAATGGTACATCCCAGCAGCAGTTTAAGAACATCCTCCTCTCCAGTGCAGCGCAGACCCACCGGCTCCGGAAGCTGCGGGGACCATCCAAATGCAGGGAGTGTGACACTTTCATGGTCAGCGGCTTCGAGTGTGAGGAGGTGAGGGCTAGAAGATGTCATTGCAGATGCCTCACGTGGGAGCCTGGGGTGACCATCATGTTGCTGAAAGTCTGCGGGAATGAGGGGCCCCTCTGCAAAGTTCTGTGCTTTTTCTTCCTCTGCATTACACAAGGCATGTTTTTCTGTCCTTGAGTAAGCCACCAGCTGCCACTTGCCTGAAGCAACCTTCTTGGGGTTGGTGGGACTTTGGTGGTTGGGGGAACAAGAGAAATCCTTCAAGTTCAGCCACCGCTGCAGTGCTGGACCACAACTAGACCATAACGTGGGTCGGTTCTGCCATTTCAGTGCTGCCTAGCCTGCCACAAGAAGTGTCTCGAGAACCTGCTCATCACCTGTGGCCACAAGAAGTTGCCCAACCGAGTACCTCTTTTTGGCATTGACTTCACGCAGGTTCCTCGAGATTTCCCAGAGGAAGTTCCCTTCATAGTAGTGAAATGCACCTCAGAAATTGAAGCCCGTGCCCTCGGGGTGCAGGTGAGTAGTCAGTTATTCTTGCTTTGGTCTTCTCTTCTCTGTATCCAAAACTCCTGACCTCTCCCCCTCTGAACCATGCAGGGGATCTATCGGATAAGTGGATCCAAAGCCCGGGTGGAAAAGTTGTGCCAGGCGTTCGAGAACGGACGGAGCCTGGTGGAGCTCTCCGAGCACTCCCCCCACGACATCACTGGGGTCCTGAAGCACTTCCTGAAGGAAGTGGGTACCAAATCTCTGCTGGGAGGGCAGGGCTCAGCCGACCGCATTCCTCAGTGCCAGACTAGCAGGGTGAAGTAACATGCTGTTTTCCTCCCCTCTTGCTGCAGCTTTCGGCACCGGTGCTGCTGTCCCACCTCTATAATGATCTCATTGCACTTGCCAAAGATTTACAAAAACCTGGGGAAGAAAAGTTGGACTGTGCAGGCTTCCCTTCCGATCCCATCCAGAGCATGAAGGACTTGCTGAGCAAATTGCCTGGAAGCAACTACAACACCCTGCGACACCTCATTGCACACTTGTACAGGTGAGGAGCATGCTGGTTGTCATGCTGGTTAGTGTCAGGTCTGACCACAGGAGATCCCTGTTGAGACCTCGCTGCCAGAGGAGCAGCTAGCACAGCACCAAATGTGTATGAGAAGAGCGTCTGGGCTTCCTTGACCTGGGAGAGCCAAGCGGGCAGTTGAGGAGAGTAAAAACTTCATTCATGGAAAGGACCATCTTGCAGCAATTAGGAGAAAGTCTCAATGACCAAGAAGGACCAGAAGGTCCTTACTGATAATGCTTCATAAAGCACAGAGCAAGAGGTCAAGGAGTAACTTGAATCAAGCTCTCTTTCACCCAGCTCTGAACACAGGTCACAAGAAACAGCCACTCTCAGTAGGGCTGCACCATCCAGACAGATCCAGGCAACTTCTGAGATTTTTTTCTCTGGAGTTTCCCTGCACAGACCAGAGCCCTGCTCCCCATAAAAGATGGGAGTTCTCTCTCCACTAGGAAATGGGGGTTTTGGTGCATTCCATCTGTGTACTCAGTGCATTTGGGTTGAGAACTGGGAAGCCCCTAACAGTCCTGTTTCCCTTCCCCAGGGTGGCAGAGAAATACGAAGAGAACAAGATGTCCCCAAACAACCTGGGCATAGTATTTGGGCCAACTCTGATCCGGCCAGGCTCAGGGAGCGATGTCTCAATGTCATGCCTTGTTGACTCTGGGTATCAAGCCCAGATTGTGGAGTTTCTCATTCAGAACTACGAAAGGGTGTTTGGGATGGATGACCTGCCTTCATCCTTATCCCTTGGATGTGAAAATCCTTCGCAAGAAGCATCGACAGAAAAGGATGAAGGACTTCAGAGCCCAAACACAGTCCAGACTATAAACCTAGAGGTAGAGCTCCCAGACACCGAGCTAGGCTTACTGACCCTGCTGTAGAGACAGGAAGGTGGACTAGCAATTAAAGAGAACTTGTTCCGTGGATAACAAAACCATTTGCTATCAGAGGGTTATTCTGAGAGGAAGGAGCAGAGAGCCTGTTGCACATGGAGTGGGAGAAACAGAAAAAAATGATAAGCTACAGATCACTCAGCAGCTTCTCAGACCAATCTGGATAGTGGTTTTGCTCCATGTTTTAGATTCCAGTCATGCTGGAAAAATTGTGGGGTTCTCCATACTAAATAGCCTGGGATACTGCTGTTTCTCTCTGTAAACAGCTCTACAACTTTGGAAGCAGCTACGTGCACTTAAGACCCAGCAGATCCCCCGGTACAGCCCTACAGGGCTCTGCTGCATCCCTGAGCAGTGGCCACGGACCCTGTTTTGCCTGCCCTGCTACTGAGTGCTCTTCGTTCTTCCCAAGCTTCGTGGCTCTTTCCTCACAATATTTCACAGAACTTCAAAAACACAAATGGGCATAGCATCCCTGAGATGGGACATGGTGGGGTTTCTCCTTTTCACAGTTGTTTGATGAGCAAGAAAGAGGAAATGATTTTCCTAAGTTAAGCCAAAGGAAGCGAGATCCAGGTTCAGGGACTCTCTGCCTCCTGCTTTTGAGTCACAGATGCTTATGTGCAAGACTGTGTGCCTGCAGTGACCCTATCCATGTCTGGCATGCAGTAACACTGCTTCCTCTACAGGTCCAGCTCACTGAGGAAGCAGAAATTAGAATAACTATGATTACAGTTGAAATAAAAATCACCAGGGTAGACACAATTCACTTTTTGTGTGCAGAAGTCCTACAGGATTAATAAACTTTCACAGAAAGCACTTTGAGATATACACAACTATTGCCTTTGACTATTTTCAAAGCCATTTTTACCTGCTTCTGCAGTGTGACTGAATTCCACAGACAGTTTCACAAACCTTTAAAAAGGGGAGTCGCTTCTAAGGCTGCTCTCATTTTGCCATTAATAAAACCGACCTCTGGAGGGCCTGCCCAGGTGACCTGATCCTTGTGCAAACTCAGACTGGATCCATACCAACTATGACTCCCAGGCACTCCCGAGTCCTTCACTCACCCTCCTATTTGCATTTGATGATAATTACTGTGCTCCAGTTAACAGCTTGGTTTCTGATGTTTCCCCTTTTTGTTCTGAAATGGGCTACTTCAGTGTCCCATGGGACATGGGAATCAGTCTCAACACACTGCTGCTCCACAGAAAGCAGCGTCTGCTTTCTGGGGTAAGTTTTGTGGCAGTTGTGTTCTGCCAGTATGGATGCTGGAATTGGCAGGTCTTGAACCATAATTTTCCCTCATGGCCCTGCCCTGTGACCTTCTGCAACCTCCCTCCCTATTCCCCCAAGTGTTACAGATAATCTAAGAGAAATCAAGGCATTTTCAGCTTAAGCAGTTGCCTCCATTCACTTGGCTCTAACAGCACTTGGGGTAAAGTGGACATTGACAGTATCTTCATGTCAAGTAAGAGTCCTGTATAAACACTCATGGCTTTTTCCAACAGAATTTCTCCTCCAAGCACGGTTTAAATGTGGACTGTGAGTCTGATAACTCATCTTCCAGGGAAGCCATCAATGAGCTGACTCTGGAGGGAGCCCACAGTCCATTAAGCACGGATGCCCTAGGTAAATAAAGTGGTGATCGTGATGCTGTTACAGGTTGTCTTGTAGCATGTTTGCTGGTTTTCACACCTCCTCCCTATCTGCCTCTACATTACATAGCAGACAAAGCATAACTGGGGCCTCTTCCACATCGCTGCTCAGTCTCTGTGCAGATAACCTACTACAGAGCAACTGCCATGTAGCTCACATGAAAGCACAAGCACATTTTCTGCTGTTCTCACGAAAGGCTTTTCCCTGCTGCTGCCTCAGCTCTGAAGCCCACAGTCACCATCGGCAGCTCTCCTGGCTTTAACGCATCGAGGACAGCTTTAAGAATATAAGCCTGATTCATATCTTATACGTCTTTCAAATGCATATCTTGTGATTGCTCTTGATTAACAAAGCTGTTAGAGGGAGGTGTTTTAGCCTGTTAATGCAGGAGGGATCTCAGTATCCTTTCTAACAGGAAAAGAAGTCATAAACCAAAATTGTTTGTCGTAGTAACCTTGTCTCACTGATCTAAGATAACTGTCTAATTTTTTGTTCAGAGATGAATACAAGTATTGGCTCGGAGCTGGAGGAACTGGAGGACTCTGTGCAGGAAAAGATAGACAGCGATTCAGACACGGTCCTAGGGACCCAGCCCAGATGCCATTTCAGCCGACAACCTGTAAAATATATTCGAACACAGGCAAAAATGAAGCCAGTCATTCCCAAGTCTTCCAATTTGCCCTTGAGGACTACCACATTAGCCAACATGGCAATGGAGCCTGGTGCAGAAGGGAACCCTACCACCGACAGCAGCTCCCCAACAAAGGACATCCCGGAGGAGAGCACCAGGAGCAGCAACAGCTTGACCGACACAAGCACACTCAAGCAACGCTTAGGAGGGAGACAGCAGCTCAAACATTTTGAGATCACGCAGGAAACTGCCAGGATTGTCTCAAAGTTTAAAGTCGATGATACTTCTGCATCCCCTGAGCCTTTTCTGGAGAGCGCAGGATCTACTGAGAAAGCAGAGGACCTCAACCTGACATACCTATAGGAAAAACCCCTAAGGGTAACAGATAATAGCAATGGAAAGGGAGAGAGGACTGAAATCCTACACCTGCTGAACGAAGGAATAGCGATGGTGAGAATAACATCCTATTTGTATTTACCATGCAATCTGGAGAAAAAGCACCAGCTGCGAACTTCCTGGCAGGCTTTCAGCTAACTCAGGATTTGCTCTTTATTCATTTACAAACCCATAAAAGTGATAAGAAGCAAGCCCAACGGCTCACTCTCTGGAACACACCCTGTTTAGCATGAAGGACAATGCAAGAAGTGGAGGGAACACAGATTGCCTGGCTAGAAAGATGTCGCCAGGAAGGAGGCAACTGAAATGTAGGACATTGGACATAAACCATTCCCCGATGGTCATTTTCTGGCAGCTGCAACAAGCACTGATTTCTGTCATTTTTATTTCACAGCATTTTTGAGTGTAACTCACTTTTTGAGTGTAATAGAACAGGGTACACAGGCAAAGCTCATGTACTCTAGATCCTTCTGCTTCTGTTGCTGGAGCTTCAACTTGCTAGTCAGCACAAAGCCATTCTGTAAAGGGAAAAAACACTGCTGTACTCTGAGCTGGACCCCATTTCTCCAAAACATTAATTCTATTTCCCTCAAAGCACATTGAGCTTCTGCAATACTTCCATGTGAAGCTGCTGCTGTCATGAAGGTGGCAAAACCCTGAACCCCCAGCAGAGAAGAAGATTTCTTGGATCTAAGACCAGGTTGCTATAACTTGCTGGGTCTCCATCTCACCTGCCCGTGGGTTGCCCCGATGCTCCTTTCTGCCTCCCTGCAGCAGATTTTCTGTCCACCAAATTTTAACATGAGGACAGGGAGAACTCTGTCCTATAGTGCCATCTCGTGACGCATGCACGGGGAAGACAGGCTTCCTATACTGTTCACTCCCGGGCATAATAGCTTTGCGTTATAGGATGAGCAGCGTTACAGATTTCCTTGGCGTTTGGTTCTGTATACAGCACGAAAGTCAGATAACAACTTAAAAACTTCTGCACTAGGGCAGATTTCAGTGATTACCGTCAGCTGCAGAGACACTAGGAGATGTATAAAGGCATCAGAGCTAAACGCTAAAGGAAAATATTACACTTTCCCCAAATAGCTCAAGAGGTTAAGCAAACTACTTCACAAATTTCTTTTGTCTCATCAACAGACTACGTTCTGGTCCTATATCTTAACAAGGCTGTAAAAGAAATGCTAAAGATCTATTCTTAGTATTTGTAGAGTTCAGGCTAAAGAGAGTTTGCATCTCTGGAGCAATGTATATTTGTTAATATAGTGCTTTGAATTCTTGAATACTAAATTATCTTTTACTGTAGAAGTTCTGTAATAAATTACTGTGTGTTTTATTATAAGCTTATCTTGTATTTGTTAAACATGAATAGGGAAGCTTTAAGTAAACACTCACTAGACTATTATTAACAGTGCCAAGTGCACACAGGTTTCTATAAAACAAAGGTAACGCTTGCCCACAAGAATTTATAATTTGAGGAACCAGCAGAGCTAGAATAATATCCCTGGTAAAAACCCTAGTTTCCTTTTCCTCCTGCACACTTAAATAGGAGATTCATTCTACACAGGAGAAGTATTAGGGGCTTGTACAGCACAACTCCTGCCATCCACCTCTGCCCTCTGCTTTTCCTTCCAGTGGTCCAATACATACAAAAATGCTGTTAGAGAAAACACACTCACTCTTACCTTGTAACTCCTCATTACTTGCTGCTTTCCGCAGAGCTGGTAATTTGTTGAGGGTAGGAGCTGCCAAAGCAACACTTCCAGCCAGAGTTGTACGGCTGCCAGGTCCCACTCGTGTAGGGAAAGCTTGGATGCAGGGTCTGAAACATCACTCCTCCTGCTCGGGATGGGGGTTTTCTGTCATCCAGCCACAGCTAACATGGCTTGGTTTGGAAACAGACACACTGAATTTTAGAAGAAACTTGGCAGGGAGGAAAGCATCATTTCCTCAATTCTTCCCACCTCCTTGAGGCTGCATCTTCACTTCAAAGGAACAGACTCAGCTGTATTTATGGATAGCAAGGAACAGGCAACAGTACTGTGAAGCACTAACAAGGAACAACCTCACTTCCCCATTCAAATTGGGGGGTAGCGGGGTGCTGGCAGAGAAGATCTTACAAACATCTGATTTTCACAGCAGCACCTTACATAAATGGCTATCTAACTCTCCCACTCAGAGCTACACCACAGAGAACAGCACCATTATCTAAGTAATTGATATATAAAGCCATAGCAACCCTCTCAATAAACCTTTTATCAGCCAAACAACCAATAAATAAGTTTCTTACTTCAAGCTTTTTCTTTTTTTTTCTTTTTTTTTAAATCGGCCAATGTGAATTCAGAGCACAAAGCAACCAGCTCATCTCAGCCGGTCAACATGCTTCTGAGCTTCAGTCACTCCTCATGTCATTAAGTAAATTAAAGCCCCAGGTCCTCACAAATGAGGATCTCAGCTGGGCTGTGTACACTAGACTCTGAATTGAATTAGGGGAATTTAAGCACCTGGTCATTTTAGGCAGGGACCAAGAGATTCCTTTCTCTTGGAGAAGCCAGTCAGAGTTTCTAATTTGCTAATCACCAAGTGTTTAATTGCAGTCAGGCTAGTGACAAATTCTGCCCCAGATTTCCTGGCCTCAAAAAAAGGAGCTCTTTAGTTTACCTTTATCCTTCTAAAAAAAAAAATCAAAGCAAACAGACCTGCAGGTATCAGGAGTCTCAAGGGGAAAACTTCCCAGGTTTTTCCAGCAGAGACTGCTGAGGGATTACCTTTACGGTGTTCAAAAAATGCAAGGTAGAGCAAAGCAAAAGGCATTACATTTCTTTTCAGCAGGCCGAGGCTTTGATCCAATTCTTGATCCCATCCTCCTCTTTTTCCTTTTCTTTTCTTTCCTCCCCATTTTAATTTTTGCCCCATGCTGTTGTTTATTGCTATCTAATTGGAGAAGCTAAATGGAGGTTAAAACACACCTGTCAGATATTTCTTAAAATTACCCCCAGAAGGAGAGTCTTTGCAAACAAAGACAGTTCAGGCCATTTATTAGCTGGAAACAGGTTTCATTCACAGGTGTTTCCTTCTGAACCATTAGCACTTCTTCATCGTTTGCCTCCCTAGAATATAAAGACAGGGATGAGGGAGCTACTTGTAGTCTGGGGCTTTGATGGAGAAGTATGGGAGTTCAGTGGGATTCATTGCTGGTTTTCTGGAGCAGGCTTTTTCTAGGAGTTTTTATGCTTTGCAGAATCAATCCTCTAAGGGTAAGAAGTATTTGGTTATCAGGCTGTGTCCCTCAAAATGTCAAATGTGATAAAGTGTCTGTTCTTTGTTAAAACTAATGAAAATATTAGGTATCATCACAAGCAGGTGGTTTATAGATTGGGGCCCCTTTGCAGATCACTTGCTGCTTGCTTTGAGAGGAGTCAGTGGGGCATATATGCTCACAGCAAGCTAAATCCCTGTGGTTTCTGTGCAGTGTGTATGCATGTACACCTTTAGAGTATGTTAAGTGAATGTTTGCAAGGAGAGAATCTGTTGCTGAATGTTTATGTCGGCAGGTAGGAAAGGCCTTTTCCCAGGTCAAGAAGGGGCCAGCAGAAGCAGCTATTTATAAAATGGCAACTGCTGTCTTCCTGAGGCTAGCTTGGGCACAATTCAGGGTTCTATTTGGGTGGGAGATTTCATTCCTTAAGTGGAGCAATATTAACGTTACCCCTGTGCAGGGTGCTTCTGTGCTCAGTTATTGCTGAAGACCAGTACAGGCTGTTATGTTCTGCCTTGCTATTCTAGCAGTTACCAGTAGGTACTAAATTTACTTTTATTCTTTCTTCTAAGCTGTTTTGTTGTCTTGCACCATAGCGGGTGGCTTAGCAGCAGGAGTGGCTGTGTATGTTGTTTAGTGGTAAAGGAAATTACTCCTATCTATACCTTGGACATTAACACATCTGGAATACTGCAGTGTATAAAATAAGTCAGTATTATTGCATTCTTGTTTTATTTTACTTTGAAAGCTGTCTTCCAACAGTCAATTAGCAGATCAGATGAGGCACAGTGCTGGGTGGATGAGGTAGTGAAAAGTGAGCTCCTCTGCATGTCTTGCTGGGAGTTCATGCTGCTGCAGACAAACAGCTTTTGTTTTCTTCTTCTCTCTCCCTCCTGCCCCAGTATGTTTTGTAATATTATTGGTTTTGTAAATGTACAGAGTAACAGTACCTATCCTATATGGAAGATGGGAGAGCGAGTAAACCAGGTATATGAATTTCTGATCAGCTGAACTCCCACATTTGAAATTCAGAAAACACTTTGCTTGGGGAATTTTTGCTAAAGATGCGAGTTACAATGTGCTTCCATCCTTTCCTTTGTATTACAGGGCAGGCATACCTGTAGGTGTCATACACCTCAGGCCATTCAAGAAAAGCATGTGCAAAGGAAAGTCTGGAATGAACTAAATCAAATATGCATGTCTACCCATCCAGGCCCACAGCTTGTGGCTGGAATCCTTTCAGGGCACTGGCTGCTCTCCTCTATCATTTATTTTAAAAAAAGATGTGTAGAGCTGTAATTCAAGCTTTGCTTAGACAGCGAGTTTCAGATACTTGGCATCCAGAGCTGTGGAGATGGTCAGTTTTGTAAGTATCTTATAAGCGGGTTTCAAGCCAGTTGTATTTTTCAGTATAAATCTGTTTAATAAATGAACATGTAGACTTCCTATGCCCTTTACAGGAATGACTTGGTTAAGGGAATATTTTTCTTAGAAGGAGCAAGAGCTTTCTTGTTGCTTTTAATACCTTTGCAACAGAAGAAGGCATGGAAGCAAGTGACTGAAGTATTTTTCCACTAGAAACATGCCTAAAAGCTCAAGGCTTTAGGAAGTTAGTAAAATATCACCAAAAATGATCAGAAGTTCAGGATTAAGTGAACAAAAGCAGAAAAGACTGTTTCATTTGTAATGGAAACCTTGAATGTTATGGGCCAGACTGTGGCCTGAATCTACTGAAATCATTTTAGTTACCCCATGCTTATTGATATGCAAAGGGCAAACAGAATGTGGGCTCTGGTGGTGAAGGCAATGAAAACCAAATCGTTTTGGCTGCTGACCAGGCAGCTGGGTTTGCCTAGGAAAGACCTTGTGCTTAGACCAGGACTGCAGGACCAAGGCAGGACAGGAAAGGTTTGCTAGCTATTGCTTGAATGTGTTCAAGGGGTTTGGTGGGGGAGAGGCTTGGAAAGGAAGGCTTGTGCTGAACATACCTTTTGCTTGTTTAAAGTGGGGGTGTTGTAATTTTTTCTCCATGACCTCACTCTTGTGGGAGCTGATTCTTGAGGAAAAAACGTGAGACTTGCTAATGTGATTCAGTCCATTGATGAAGCAGTTGTGGGCATAATGAAACATCCCTTGAGTGAGCTGGAATCTTCACCTAACTGGGGAAAAAGCCGTGTTGCTGCAAATTTTGCTTGACCAAGACTGCCCCAAAGGCTAACTCTCTGGAGGAAGTCGCATTTCTTCGAAGGGACAGATATTCCCTTTTCTTGCTCAGGGAGAGTAGCTGTGTGTCAGTCCCTGATGCTCTTGTTGAAGATAAAGCTGCAGTTGTGCTGCATCTGCTTATTCTGTAGCTGGAGGCTTTTCTGAATTGGTTTTGTTTTTTCTTTCTAGACTTAAACAGAAAGGCATGTTAAATGCTTTTTATGACTCTCCAGCCATAAGCTGCAGGCATCTGACATTAAACCAAATGGAGACACAGGGGAAGTGGGTTTTCAGAAATAATCCCTATAAAAGCAAAGGCTGAGGCATGTGGAGCTTGAGTGCCTGTAAAGTTCCCTGACTTTCCAGTGAGTGCCAACTGAACAGGGAGACTTCATCTTGCTGGGTGCCAGCCAAGATCAGAGGAGTTCAGAGCAAGGCAGCGTGCAGCCTTCTTGCAAATGGAGACTGAGCTGAGGGCTGCCTGCATGTGGTTCACAGGAAGGGAATTTCCACCCAGTTTTGTTTTTATTGACAATAGTGCGAAATGCCAGATGAAATTATCTTTGGGTGAAGATGAGGCCGAGTCCCGCTTCATAAACACAGCATCCCGACTTGATTTTAACCTCGCTGTGGCTTCTAATAATGTGACATCATTCAGGGGCCAAGCTATTCTTTCTCTGAACTGCTGTTTCTGCCTTCGGTATTGCTTGTCTCTGTGTAGGATAATCTCCTTCTTCCTGTGTGAATTAGGAGGAGCAGCAGCAGAGGGGCCCCTAGACCATCCCGACTCCAAACAAAACACCGCTGCAAATAACCCTCTCTTCCCTCCCCTACCCTGTTTTCTCTCCACTGCTGCAGAACAAATGTTTTCATCTTGGGAGAGTGCTGGGATAGCCAGTAACTGGGCAGAAGGAAGTTAGCCCGCCAAAATCCATTTCCAGGATAGTTACCTGGGGCAGGTAAGAGTGGTCATTTGCCAGGACATGGATGTGTTTGAGGGAATATCCCAGCTGTTTGTTCTTGGTTGTTTTTCCATCTTGTCTAACAAGGCAAAGGTGATGAGATCCAATGTTACGTTTTGCTGCAGTGGTCTTCCTGCTTCAATTTAAGGTGTTGTCTACAATATGGAAGATGCTTTAATTCTAAGTGTCAAAACGCAGCCAGAGCAAACCTTGGGAAGGTGAAAGGGGGAGAGGAGTTTTCCAGGTTCTTTGGGATTTGTTCTGGGGCAATTGATTGTAAATGGTTGCTAACTTGTTGGAGGCAAGGCAAATTCCTGTTGTAGGCAAGGCTGCAGTGGGCATGGATTTCTTCCCTACCTCTTTGTTGAAAAGTACTCTTTGATGCTGTAGGCTTGCAAACAACAGCTCTGCTCCGCCTCAGAGTTGGCTGCTTTTCAGCAGCAGTGGGTGTTATGAAATTCCTGCATTTTTAACACTGATGTATATGCTGCTTTCCATCGAAAGATTTGGCTGTTAGCTGAAGTTGTAAGAACCGTGTTGTCGTTTCGTTGTACTCGAGGGAGTGCTCCTCCCTGAGGGTTTGGGAATCTCTGGGCCAGTTGGGACTTGGGAAGTATTAATTTGAACAACTGGTTCTCTGCAGAGATCTGCTGGGGGAGAGATGATGACAGAACTCCTTCCAGAAGGTTTTTAACATTCTTTGGATTCCAGGAGAGGGGTCTCAGCAAAAAAAAAAAAAAAAACCACCAAAAAAAACCCAAAACCAACCCTTCAGATTGTCATCCATGGGAACAGTCACAGCTATAAGGCTTAAAGAAAAATATTGGCTTTAGGCTTGTTTGAAAATGCAGAATCTACTAAAACAATTAATTTCACTTTGAAAAACAGAAGTGTAATAAAGGGGAGGCAAACATCTGTTGTCTTTGGAAATGTTTCTCTACCAATTCTCTGCTGGGCACCAGAATGTGATCAGATCTGCTGGCTGCATCAAGATCAGGTTACTTGGTGACTCTGCTTGAGCAGCCTTTCTGCTTGGGGGGGAAAAATGCTGCACAACACCCTATGAGCCCCTTCTGAACTGGTGGAAACAGGAAAACTCATGAAGTGATTGGAGGGGAAGGGGGGAGACAGAGGGGCTGGACAGGATGGGTATCTGGTCTCCTTGGTCTTGCCTGTGTTCAGCATCTGGTACTCAATCCCAGAAGTATTGTTGGAAGGTATCTGAGCTCAGTCTTTAAGAAATCATTACACTGGCTGCAAAAGCTGATGTGAGGTTTTCAGGTGTGCTAAGTTTTGGGTTTGCAGGTAGCACCCTGAAAGGGTGAGGCTGTGCAGGGCCCAAACTCATGTAATGTGGTTAGAGACACAAACTAAATGGGTCTTGGTTCCTTCTAATATCCCCCAAACCTGAAAATAAAGAGACTCCCAAATTTCTGTTATGCAGAGAAGCAAAGTTAGTTTTTTTCCTAGACAAAGGGACTAGAAAAATTGCCGTTATTAAGGTCAGGTCTTTGAAACCTGAAATATTCTCTTGCCTCCATATGCATGCAGGTAAAGTCTGTGACAGGCTTACGTGAGCCCTGGCCTGATCCAGTCTGAGATTTCTTGTATCCCCCTTTGTCCTGATACTGGTGTGTGGGGACTGAGTTGCAAAAGCGCTTCTGACCCTTTGTCAGCACTGGGTGCTCTGAACTTGCTGGGTCTGTCTGACGCGGCTGAGCTATTGTGATGGACTGTTGACACTTCAGTTGAAACCAGTTATGCTGGGCTGTTTTCCTGATTGCTCTGGGTGTTCCTTTATGAAAACGTTGCCTCTAAAGCACTTGCTGAGTGCCACTTTGAAACCTTAAAGGAACGAGTAAATCAAAAGTATTTTTAGACTGCTGCCATCCCAAACTGCACAGCTGCAGAGCACGTGTAACTTCGTAAGTGTCTGAAGCCTATCGAAGCCTGTGCTGCTGCCAAACAGTTGCTCTGACCTGGGTTCTGCTTCTTGTGCACCAGCATGGAGAGCTGGATCAGTGACTTAAACCCGTTGCTGGCAGCACAAGTGCTGGAGCAGACCAAAGGGTGGAGTGGGGAAATTGGGGGGCTGTTTTATTGCAGCTTGGACTTGGGTCTCTTTGGTCTTAAACTATTAATGTAACCAAAAGGATAATAAATGCCTCATGGGAAGGTGAAGGATCTGCTCTGTGTCACTTGAGTAAGATGCTTCAAATTTGAAATGACTTCTTGTAACTACAATATTGTTATAACTCTGTCTAGCTGCAGTAAGGACTTCTGGCTCTCTGTGTTAGGACTGGCTTTCTTGGTAAGTTGGTTGTTCTCTGCTATGAGAAAGCAAGCTTGTTAAACTATAGCTGGGGTTTTTTTTTGTCCCCGTCCCCCCCCCCCCCCAAGAAAGGACTCTGGGATACCCGTTAGTGCAACTTTTTTCTTCTTCTGCAAATGCGTACGGAAATCTTGTGAAAGGCGCCTGTGCCTGGTAATGTCTTGTCGGTGGCATTACTGGCCTGAAAGTGCAGAATTTGTAAGCCGGTGGCAATGATCAGTTCTTTCTGAGTTTCTGTTGCTGTCATGAGCTTTCCAGCATGATTTTGGCCTTGGGAGGCTGCAGGACGTAGGGGTAGAATTTAGGAGGCCTGGTGCAATTTTTGCAGGACTCAGTAGTAACCCCTCTGCTATCTCTCTCAGCCTGTCCTATTCATCCATCTTTTCTTCTGCCAGTGTCACTACTGCTCTGTTTCCATTTATTGGCTGCCCTGTTCTGTTAATGTGTCCTTGGATCTTTGGCCCTATCTCTTTCCCCTTTGTGCTGGGTTCTCTTTGTAAATCTTCTGCCTCTTTTACATAACATTACTTGGCTCTGCCAAGCTCTACGGTGTATCTGACTGGCAGCAGATTAGGGTTGTGCTTGGTGATAACATTGTTCCTTGGGGAACAGATGATGGTAGGAGGAGAGTGGGAGAGTAGGAAATTGGAGCCGAATGGAAATTGCTGGGGCCTTTGCAAGAGCAGCAGGCATAAATCAAAATGAATGGATGTTGCAAACTAGTTTTTTTTCCTTCATAATTTATACAGCTATGGCTTGTTAGCACTAAGTGTGCTGTTGGTATTTGTATAGTACTTAGCAGGTAAGATAATCTCAGATGTGTCAAGGACTAGCTAGACTGACTTATCAGAAATGTGAGCTCTCTTTCTAGCAGTGACACACACTTTTACCAAGTTATAGCAGGAAAGTCCTTTCCAGTCTGTGCCTCAGTTTCCCTCGTGTCTCACGACATCTCCTTCTCCCTGCTTCTTCCCTGTTTCAAGCTTTCTTGCACTGCACTGGGCAAGTGTGGCTGCTGTACGGGATGTGGGGGGCTGGATCCTGAGCTGACAGTCCACTTGAGATGTGGGTGCTGTAGTTGTAGGCTAGGAAAACAGCCTGCTGGTGCCAAGGGAAGATGGTTCCTCCACCATGGGATGGCACCTGGTCATTTGGAAGATCTGCTCCCCTCCTGTGGTGCGGCAAAGGCTCTGGGGCAGCAGGCGAGCACGAGCGAACCCTCACCACGGGGCAAACCGGTGCGGTGGGAGCGTTGGGACCAGAGGGTACCAGTTCCCACAGAGCAGCACCTTGCCGGCAGGAACGGTCCACGAGGGTGATGCTGGCGGATCGGAGCTAACTCGTTCCAGCCAGAACCGGAGGTGCTTGGAAAGTGGCTTTGGCCTCCATGAAGGCGGCGAGGATTCGGGTTACAGCTCCTGGGTCTCCTGGTAGGACCCGCCTAGGGGAGGACCCAAGGAGGGACGGGCTCATCGGAGCTCTTGCAAACTTGCCTCCCAGGAGCCTGTGTTTCGGAGCGGTCCGTGATGGACTCTGAGGCTGTAACGCTTGTCTGAAACTTTCCTGTAAGGCACTTTGCCTTTTTTTTTTCCCTTGCTTGGAAAGCACCTCTGCCCTCCAGAGATGGGGATCTCCTTGCTGGATAGCTGCTGTGGTTTCCTGTGGTGGGGAGACCAATGCTAAATGTCAAGTTTGGATGCGGTGGTTGTGCTTTCAGGTAAGAACGCTGTTCTTTGGAGTAAAAGCTTGTACTGTTTATGGCTTAAAAATATAGCAGTGGCTTTAATGTTTGGCCATGTAAATCCGTGTGCAGTGGACATGGGCAAAACAGGTTGGATTTGAGTCCCCGTGAGCCTTCATAGATCCATTGTTCTGTCTTCATCAATGCTGATTGTGGTTATTAGTGGGAGCATAAATTCAGCCATTCATCTCTGTTCACTTCCACACTAGGCTGGCTGTCGGTTTGTTAACAAGTGTTGAATGTCTTCCCAGATCTCAAGGAGCTGACTAGCATTTTCCACTTTTGCAAGCAAGAGGAAATGGAGAAGGGAGGACACTTACACCTTTACTTTCTGTGTAAAAGGACTCTGAACTTACCGTGAACCTGGGGTGGTAATTAACTGAGTAAGAAGGGAGCCGGTGTATGCGCGTGGATAACGCTGGCAAGGAGAAAAGATGCGTTCTGCGCTCATTTTGTGTGGTGGTTGCTTCCTACCAAACTGCAAAAGCTGTACTCGATTTTAAGGGGGGAGACTTGAGCAGAGTTTGAGGTAGTGTGATTAGAGAAGAGGCTGTGTTTGCGTATTGCTCAAGGAAAGGGGCTGCTGAATTGTTGCAGCACGTAACTAGAGTCTTGTTTTACCGAGTAAACAATGCTAGTAAGGAAAAATCTTGTAAGATCCTGCTGAGGAGTGTAAGGCCATGGAAGGGGGTTGCTCGGACACTGAACAATAGACTCATCCAGCTCCTTTGTGCATCATGGCACCAGCCTGACTTTCTATCTGCTTGCTGCTATGGGCAGGGTGTTCCTCTTCCCCCAGCACTGCCTGTTAAATTTTGATTTGTGGCATTGTCTGCCCTTGATGCCAAGCTCCAAGGTCAGTTTTCTAATTGCAGGGTAGTGGTGAAATGGCACACAAGCTCCCAGAACCAGTCACAAGCATTAACCTGTCAGTGCCTCCTGGACCCCACCCAGCTCACAGTATTGCACAGATTTAGTTTGTAACCTATGCACATTGCAGAAGGATTTGCAACTCTCAAGCTTCTCCTTGCGCTCTAACTGGGTCTTGCTTAAAGAAGCATTTCGGGCATTGTCATTAGGATTAATGCTGAGGGGCTGTTTCTCTAGATTTGAGTATTACACATGCAGAACACAGCTCCTTTGTGGGTTTGCACAGCTCTAATCCCCTCCCCCAGTAAACATACCATTGAACCAGCACTTGTATAATGCTTTGAAAAAAGTTCCTAATTTGCCAGGAGGAAGTTTATGGGGCCTGTCATAGCTGTGGGATCTTTAAAATTTGCAACAAAAAAAGATTGGTCTCCATAACTTAGTGGCAATTTTAAAGCTAGTCTTATCTGGATTAAATTTGTCTTGGTATCAGCTCAAAAATTACTGAGATTAAGACCTAGATCCATCAGCATGTTATTTCACTGTGGTATTTTAATGTTCCTGAAAAATTGAAGTGTAGTGTGAGCTGTCTTTGTGCTACACTGTGCACAGGGAAGTGCCTGTTATGATCCTCATTGTATCAGTTAAACTTTTATAACTGGGGGGGGAACACTTATGCTACTCCACAGCAAAAATGTGAATGGGATTAAATGGCATTTGAAACCTGCTTGTTCATGTGGCTGGATACTGCTTTCATTTCTTTCCCCCTTTCTTTCCTGAGCATCCACATGTGTAGTCTTAAAAAGGTGAAGTGACTTACCTAACTTCAGCAGTAATTTCCTTTTTTATTTGGGATTAAAGCTTTCAGAAATGTTTAGAGGAAACTCTTTTGCTTAAGAATGGCCTAGCCTTTGATTTGGTGCCTCCCCAGATACACCTAATGAAGGTGGTCACCCATCTGCCTGTGATTCACAGCAGTCACATTTGTCCTGTTCCTAGGCTTTCCTCCCTTGTTCTTCTGTTGCTTTCCTCTGAGCCAAAATACTCTCAAGTTACCTGCCAAGTCACCACATGGTATCTCTGCAGATCCCACTTGGTTGCCTTCATCTTGTGTGCTGCGTTTGGACTGCATGACTCCTGAACAGCTCTACAGCTTGAGATCTACAAACATCCCATGACCTGAAAGGAAAGATGGACTTGTTAATGTAGTACTAGCCCATGACTCCATCCCCTGGGGAAAGTTGATTCCTCTTCTGCCTCCTTGTCCTTTCTTCCTCACCAATATTTGTAAAAAATAGTATTTCCCTATTCAGCAGACTTTAAAGTGAATTAGTTCAGTTGTGTAGCTTTCTCGCCTTATGGTAAAGACAGCCTATGCTGAAGCAGGCTGATACAGAGCCCATTATGGCAGTGGAGATCAAAAGTTCAGCTGCAGGTATGATAGGGTTTTCCTGGCTCAGCCATCTTGTTTGCACAACTTGGCATGTGTGCAGGCAGAGGTAGGTGCGGTGCAGGTGATAACAAACTGGCCTGCCTGCAAAGATCTCTCCTCACTGTTACTAACAGCAACCTTGCTGCTATGCCGAGAGCTCCTGCTGAAGTGTCCCAGAAAACTCTGCTGCCTAGAGAGTGGAGGAACATGCAACTAATTAGAGCCCCTGAGCTGTGTTTTAGTTTCGGGGGTGATTAAAGTGAATTGTGAGTTGGGCACTTTGGGTTTTCTCCCTGTCTGAAGAGGATGGTACTCTTGCTGTGTGGTCTGTGTTAAGCTTTCTCTAAAATGAGGGTGATAGTTGAGCTCATGAGAGGACAGGGAGAACCAGTGACTTCATGTGCGGAACACACCAGGGTAAGGAAAAACTGTGTCATTTTTCAGCACCTCAATGCCACAAGGAAGGAGGCTCCAAACTGGGTTTGCCCATCCCAGCAGGAACCGCAGCCAGCCCTGACTTGAGATTTCCAAGCTCTTGGTTAGGAAAGGAACATGAACATCTGCTGTGGGGTGTGATGACTGGGCTTCTGCTCATTCCTTGGGTTTGTTCATGGTGCTGTATCTTTTCGTGTTTTCATTGTTTTTATGGACAAGTAGCACAGTTAACACCTGCTCAATTACTGGGTTTAAATTTTGACTCTGTAAGGTAAAACATCCTTTAACTTAACCTGCTCCTTCATGTTTGGCTGTCCACAGGACAGGATGTTAGATTACCAGAGGTAATGGGCTTTGAAAATTAATGCTTAACGTTATGATCCAGATGAATGGCTTGTCTGGTCTTGCTCCCAGAAATGCTGAGTGTGTCAAAGAAATGTGAAAAGTCCTTCTTGAGACTTAAACATCTTTTCCTATCAAGTTTTTCCACTGACTTCAATGAGTTTTGAATTGTAGCCTTGTTCCAGATCTGGAAGGGAAGAAGGGAGTTGCCTCCCTTGTTGCACAGGTGACTTACTGGGTGATACTCTGAAGTTGATACTGTGGGTGCTGACCCCACACACTGTTGTGTAGTCTGGAAGTGCTGCAGGGGTTCCAGATGATCCGGCTCTTCCAGAGATCCAGCCTCACAGTTGTATGTGCTGACTTTTTGCTACTGTTTACTTTTCAGGGCCAAGGAGCTTGTTTCTGCCCAGCTCTTTGCCTCTCGGCAAAGTTTGGGAAGTACTCACCTGTTTTGGAAGGATCGGCAAGCGCTGCGCATAGAGCAGTGTTCGGAAGCAGCTGTGCATTACATTAGCCTTTAAGCAATAAAACTACCCAGGAAGGATGAGATATGTGTGCTCACTGAACCAGAAGCAGGAGTCCTGGGGACTGCAACAGCTGCAGAGGCTCAGAGTCTTCATCAGAGTGTTGTTTAGTGATTGACTGATAAACCTTCTTTGCTGCTGCTTTGTTTTTACATTTTTGAAGTAGGACATCTGGGACAACAGAAATAGTTTTGTCTGTCATCCCCATGAAGCTGCGTGGGCGGGACAGGGAGAATCTCTTATCAGATCTGGCAAACCTTATCTCCTCCCATGAATGTTCAAGGTTTTGCTGCATCCTCAGTATGGCTTTGAGGACAGATGAGGACTTGGCCTGTGAGATGTGTAGCTCTGTCTCGAATACAGAAGTGGTTTTCTGTTGCTCATGTGGTTGTTCCTGTGTTTCAAGCTCCTCCCTGCCTCCATCTGTGTCAAAGGCATTATCGTAATGCTCAGCATCTCCCTGGCTTGTAATAGTTGTATGTGTGTTTGCAGGCACAACGAGCTAACGATACTTTCGTCCCTCTTTAGGACAGCAGCAATGAAGCACTGTTTTTACAATGAGACTGTGGGGTTCTTCTACAACAACAGCCGCAAAGAGCTGACTACATACTGGAGGACGAAGGATGTCCTGGTAGTTGCCCTGGGCCTGACAGTGAGTGTCATTGTGCTCCTGACCAACCTGCTGGTCATCACTGCTATCATCATCAACCGGCGTTTCCACTACCCCATCTACTACCTGCTGGGGAACTTGGCAGCTGCTGACCTCTTTGCTGGCATCGCATACATGTTTCTCATGTTCCACACGGGACCTAGGACAGCAGAGCTCTCCCTGAAGACCTGGTTCATCCGTCAGAGCCTGCTGGACACCAGCTTAACAGCCTCTGTGGTGAACTTGCTGGCGATCGCTGTAGAAAGGCACCAGACTGTTTTTACTATGCAGTTACACAGCAAAATGTCCAACCAGCGTGTGATGATCCTCATCTTCTGTATCTGGGTCACGGCTCTGCTCCTGGGGCTCATCCCTTCCTATGGCTGGCACTGTCTCTGTGCCCTGGAGAAGTGCTCCAGCATGGCACCGCTCTACAGCAGGAGCTACCTGACCTTCTGGGCCATCTCCAACCTGGTCATCTTCCTGATCATGGTGGTTGTGTACACACACATCTTCATCTATGTCAAAAGGAAGATGACACGGATGTCCAAGCACACTAGCTTCCACCCCCGCTACAAGGAGACCATGATCAGCCTTGTCAAGACGGTCACTATTATCCTAAGTAAGTCCACTTGCTGTAGTCAATCTACATGACACTTTGATCCTCCATCCTGGGTTGCGTGGGGTTGGTGAGGTGAATGTGCTCGGGACAACATGGAAGATTGGGAAGTGACATTCTGCTTCCCTGGTCTCTGAAGCTGCTGGTGTGATGGTTTGGTTTGGCTGCTGAGGAACTCGACGGTGTCAGGACTCTGCATGAATTGTGTGTGAGCTGTAATGGGAGCAACCTGGCAGACAGAGGGGAGGGCAAGCTCCTGAATCTCTTGCCCTCTGCTCCTTTGGTTAGCAGAGACAAGAGGAATTTGGTAATATCTGTCTGCTCTAAGTGCAGGTGCTTTGGGCACAGAAGTAGCTCTTCTGTGTGTTCAACACCTAGTATGCTTCCCCCATAGAAGGGTAGAATGGAATTGGGAGCTATAATCATGCCTTGATCAAGAAACAGCACTTAGTTCATCCTTTATTAAAGGATGGAGAGAGGCTTGGGGCAGATATTCCAAGGTGATGGGAAACGAGAATGAGGGAGTTACATCCAAATTCCTTACTGTTTACTGGAACAAAGCACTGAACTCTGTTCACATTTTTTTTGTGGAGCGGCTCAGTACAAGGTCTCAATCTGCTTGGGTAAATACATCCCTGGGAACTCTCAACTCAGTTTGAGCTGCTCTCGTGAGCTTGGGATCTCCAGCAGAGTGCTAACTGCCTGTCAGTCTGTCTGCATCTGCAGTCTGTAGTGCAAATAAGAGCAGATCAGTGACTGGAAGTGGTTGGTGCTCAGGCTCTGCCTCTGCAGGATATTTAACTTTCTTTGGATATGTGCTGTTCTGCCCAGTGCTGCGCATCTAACAGCGGAGGCTGGTGCCTGTCTTGTGCTTTCAACAGCTTATGACTCCATGATTTCTTTAATCTGTTTTTTGCCTTGTGTTTTAATGGTCTAACAACCTTTCTTTAAAGTGAAATAAATCAATGCGCTCAGATCTTCCGCAACCCAGCTCGACTCTGGGCCTACGGTCACAACCCCTTGCTTGCAAATCTTCCCTGATAAGCGCAGAATTTGCTCTGTCAGGAAAACCTTGTAGCTGCAAACAAAGACTACTCCCTTGTGAACTCCCGCTGGCAAAGCAGGGCTCAGCAGGGGAGGGGAGCAGTGTGGGGGGGCTGTCGGGCTGCTTGGTGTGTCCCTGCTTGGGGGCATGCGGGCTTGCCGGGTCCTGTTGCAACTTGTGAGCATCGAAACTGGAGTTTTCTGCCTGTTCCTGCCTTTCCTGTGATGTCTTCCCTGCCTTGCAATCTCTCCATCTCTTGCATGCAGCTGGGAGTTCATTACTGCCTTGGAGCTGATCAGATGCTGCACAGAGGGTCAGAATGATTCACTTCATATATTTTACACAGTCCACAGTGGGGAGTTGTTTTGTTCCCCCTTCCTTCCCAAACAGTATCAGAGGGTCACCCTGTGGTGTCAGCAGGACTGCTTAATTTTACGGGGCTTCACAGTATCAACTGGAAGAGGGTTGGCTGGATGGAGATGCCAGCCAGGAAGGAACAAGCAGTTTGCCCTTGGTGCATCACCTTGTTTTGGGAGATCCCTTTCCTCTTGATGTTCCCCCCCTTCTGGCTTGAGTGAGGAAAAAGCTTGGGCCAGAGGTGTCTCAGAAGAGCTCCCAACAGGGAGTTGGGACTGGTGTCTGAGGATGGACAGAGTGGGGAGGAAACCTAATGTGGAAAGTTGAGGGAGACTCAGGAGTACATCAGGCCTTTGGGACTCTTGTAACCAAAGGGTTTTTCCCTTCCTCTGCAGAGCAGCGTCGGACAGAAGCAGCAGTTGGTTCTGTACAGGTTCCTTGCACAGGAGGGAACAAGGGAGAGAATTGCTCAACTCTGGGGAAAATACCTTTCTGTTTGCATTCAGCATACAGAAAGTTGAGACTGCAGAGGGTTTTTTCCCCTCCCTGTGAAAGCCCTGGTGTAATTCTTTCTCCACCCTCTCATTCCCCAGCCTTCTGCAAACTTGGACTCTGCACAGAGGAATACTTTGCGCCTTATGCATCAGAGGGTGTAGCTGTTGGTGAGCATGTGAGGAAGTCAAGGGTGCGGTAGGAGCTGTCTATGTGTGCCACTTCATTGCAAGGCAAGGTAGCAGTGGTTGATAATCCTGCAGGTCCTGGGCATTAAGAACAGGTCTAGGAGCTGACCTGGAAACCAGTAATAAGTCCAAGGTACATCTGGGAACTAGGAGCAAATTTTCCCACAGACCAGTTGAGTGACTCAGGATGTGATGATGACCAAACCACAGGGCAGAGTTGTTAGTGACCATGCTGTGTTAGATTATTAGGCATTCAGGCTTCCTTCTGAATACTTTAGCTTCCATTAGGGAGCAAGGAAATCAGCTGGATTTGCAGGCGAAGGCCCCAGAATTTTTAGGTACCTCTTTTTGTTTTTCCCCTCCCATCTTTACTCTTCCTCTGGCTTTACTTAGTGCTGCTGGGAGCCACTATTTAGAGAATCTGGCTTGCCTTGTGGATGATGAAAACCTGGCTAAAAAAAAGTTACATCACTAAACAAGGAGGTCCTGTTCCTGCAGGCTCACTCAAGATAGAAGTATGGGACATTCCTTCATGACAACCAGGAATCTATTTTGTATATTTGCTAAATTTAAAGGGGGTAATGTCATGTCTGCAAGTGTGGGGAAAGCTGCCTGGCCCAGATGTGTGGCTGCTGTGCTGACCTTCTGGGAGCATGATTTGCTTAAATAAAAAGGGTTACCTGATGCAGTGGCCTGAAATTGGCTGGAAAGGCTCCCAAAAACCCTGGAGATCCCTCCCAAATGTTCCTTGGACTTTTCACCAGTGCAGCATTTCACTCAATAACAGCTTTAAATTCAGGCTTTTGGTTTTGGTGCAGCTCCTCTGGCTGTTGTTCTTTCCTGACAGATGTTTTTCAGTAAAGGGTGTAGTTGCAAAGTTCCCAGAAAGTCTTGTTCTTTTCCACCCTTTCCCAGAAGGCACAGCAGGGTGCAGTTCCTGTGCTTTAAGATACAACCTTATGTATGACTTCCAGGAGCACTGATGGGCGAGTGCTCCATTTACATCAGCCTTAAAATCATGACCGCAAAAAGGGCTTTAGGAGCTGCAGGCACCTCCCACTCCGTCATGCAAAACAGCAATTACCCTTTTGCCAAAGAGCTTTGCAGGTGGTGGCAAGAACATAGTATCAGCCTGACTGAATCAGTGGTGGAGTTTGTCCAGCTCAGTCCTGGTGTTGGCCAGCCCATTGCTTGGCTATTTTCTGCTCAGCGTATAGCTGTGTGAGAGAGACTTCATTGGAGTGCCCCAGGTGTTGGCCAGGACTCTTCTAAACTCATGCTGTTAACTAAAGCCCCCATAAACCATATGGACAGTGGAGATTATTTAGGTCAAGATGTATCACCCTGGCTCTTCCCTAATTTTATGACCTGCTTCCCTTTTTGGAGGGGGTGGCACGTAAATAGGAAATGTGGAGACTTTATCTTCACTCAGTAAATGTAATGATGGGGACAAGAGGAGGTAAGTGAAAGTACTTGGAAGAGTTGTTCTGAGTGAAAGGGATGGGGAAGGTGGAGGGGAAAGCCAATGCATCCATTTTTAGTATTTGCTGATTGAATCCTTGGTCTTCCTCCAAAGCAAAAATATAGTGAATCTAGTGGGGTTTTTTTTGTCCCTATTTAACTTTTTTTCATGAGATAAACCACTAGTGATTCCATTGAACATCTTTATGGTGAATGACTGGGCAGGGCCAGGAACCTGCTTTTTCTCTAACAGAGGTTCTTTTTTCCCCAGGTGCTTTTGTTATCTGCTGGACTCCAGGACAAGTTGTGCTCCTCCTGGATGGCTTGGGCTGCAAGAGCTGCAATGTTCTAGCGGTGGAGAAATACGTCCTTTTGCTGGCAGAGATAAATTCATTGATAAACGCTATTGTCTACTCTTACAGGGACAACGAGATGCGTAGCACCTTCCGGAGGATCCTCTGCTTTGTGTGTTATAGGAATTCCAAATACACCCCCACGGTGGTGAAGTTAAACACCACAGACCGCAGAACACTTTCTCAGAACGGGCACTTTACTGTGGATTCCTCTATTTAGCTCTTGATCAGAGACAAGCATGGTGCTGAACAGCGGCTGCTTTCTGAGCAAAAGAGCGGAGGCTAAGAGCGACCTGCTTCTAAAGCAGTAGAGACTTATTTTATGTGCTCAAGCATAAATATTTCTATAGAAACTTGTCATCGATAAAGGACAAGGTGCTTTTAAGGACCTGCTGGATGGTGCATTATTTAGGACAAACATACTTTGAGTAGTATTCTTATTAAAGACTGCTATTTCTAATGCAAAGTTGATTTAATTTAGCAGCATCTAGAAGTATGCTATGTGCAACAAGAATCTCGTGTGATCTTTCAGTGAGCAAAGTATTTTCTTGGTACTTCAGTATTACTGCCTTCAGAAATAGTCATTCCAGTGGTAGCATACTCCAAAGAGCCAAAGCTCTTCAGCTTTATGTGTTGCTTCCTAAACAGAGCTGCTTAGTGTTTCCCCAGAGAGTCTTATTCAGGTTGTGTTCCACCTGCTTCAGAAATTATATTCTTCTTAAGGCCTCTTCCGAGAGGAATCTGTTTGAATTGTTTCCTGAGAAGCAGATTCCTGCTTTCCTAAGTGTCCGTTACTGAATTTCAAAGTACTCTGGGCTTTTGGAGGATGTCTTAGGAGCACCTAATTCTTTCCTAAAATGGAGAGTGGTGCTGTAACTCACTGCAGTTGTGTTTGTGTTCTGCTAAGTGATACCATGTGGTATTCACAAGTTCATTGCCTATTCATAAATGTGGAGTGAGTCATGTTCCCATTAAACCATCTTTCTACTCACTGAAAGCCCTTTGGGACAGGTTTAGGTTGGATTCCAAGGCAATCAGCATTTTTGCCTTAGGTTTTAATGTGCGGTTTGTACCTTAATACTCAACTGCCCAAATAATGTGTTAATAGTCTGTTCAAATGTAGTCTTTCTCTCAGCAAACCACCATAAGAAATTAGCAATATTAATTAATATTAGTGCACATAGGATCTAGTTTTCTGAGTAAGTCCATTGGCTGCATCTGACATGCAATGTAAACTGTCACTCTTGATTGCGAGACCAGACTGGAGGGCAGATCCTCTGCTGGCGGAAGAATATTCATGGCTGAGAAACTGTAAACACTTCTCCAGGTTTCCTTCACACTATTAAACTTTAACAGTGTGAATGTGCCTGTGACAGTCCAAAATCGAGAGTTAGTTGTTCACCATGGGCTTCTGTGAGAGCAGGGAGAGGCTAACAGAAGGCAGGTTTTGGAATATTGTCTAAATTTATAATTTTGGGGTTTCTGGGGTTTTTTGTTTTGTGTTTTTTTAATAAAACAGCCCTGTTCTGTCAGATGATCAGCTTCCTGACTGATCACCTCAGTTGGCTTTGCAGAGAAGACAACTTACTGGAGACATTGTTACTCAGATGTGTGTGTATGGACTTTTTCTTGTAGAACATGGTCAGGAAGTGACAGTGTTAAGGTGACAGTCTCCTGGATTGACTAAAACAGTCTTGGAATATGGTTCCCATCTCCATGTCCCAGAGACTTTTTGAATAAATATTTTGTCCTGGGTTTTAGAAAAGACTTGGAATTTTTCCCGTGTCCCCACCCTGAAGCCCTGGGAAAAGTAACATCCTCCAGTTGTGTGATGTGATGCTGGAAGGGAGGGATACTGGCCTGTGTGCTTGCATCCATTGTGACTTGCTGCGCTGTGGCCCTGCTACTGATCTGCCTTCTAGGTGGGTTGCCTTTGAGAGTATCTTGCAGGACTGTGCATGTGTGGCTGGAGGGGTTATAGCCTCCAGAAAGAGTGTGGAGAGAACTGGAGGAAGTAATTTTCAGCCAGCCATCTGCAGCCAGAGCAGGGAGTAAGGCCACAGCCTTGGTCCATTGCTTGCAAACACCAGACTTGGCTGGTTTGGGGAAATTTCACACTATTAAAGCATACCAGGTGGTAGGGCTAAGAGAAGGTGTAATTTTATTTTTATTGCCAAAGATGACTTCCAGTTGCTTTTACTTTCCCTGGCAAATACTCTTATTGGGATACAGGTACACACTGCAGTGGAAGCAGGTGGTGAATTAGCAGTAGCTGGAGGAAGACGGTAATAGCGAACACCTGGAAAGCTGTTACTGGGAGGACAGAACAAACTTAGACCTTTTCTTTCTGCTTTCCTGAACATCCCTAAAGCAGGAAGTGCATGAATCCTACTTCATGCAAAGCTAATTTTACAATTAAATACATGCTAAGCTCTGCCTTTCTTTTATTAACAAAGGGGGAAGGAGAAAATATGAAAGTTCATATTGTCTTGGTGTGGGATTAATACCAGTCTGATTTAACCAGGGTGTGTGTAAAGAATTGACTGTACTGCATTGGGGTGTGAATGAATCTTTGTAGTGGGTGAGATGACGCTTGGCTCCTAGAAGAACTGCAGTTGGCTTTTATGCCCAGTTGGGTCTTTAATAAGCTGTACACGTTCTTCCCTGAGGGATCTGGTAACTAGCCTGACCTCAGCCTTCTGCTGGCTGCTTGTCGAGCTGCGTTTCAGCAATGCGATCCCGCTCTGACAAGCGCTTTCCTGTAAGTACCCGCAACACAGGCTGACTTTAAGTCATTGACAACAGGCTCTTGATGCTTTACGATCACAATATAGAGAGGATCATATCTGAGGTTTTTTTTCCAGTATTTTAAATGGCTTATTTAAATTTATCCTAACTGCCAAACCAGTGTAAATACTAAAGAACTGTCATATACAACACTGATGGAAAGTATATCAAGAACTTGACCAGTTTGTACCAGGCAGAACATTCTGACTCCCTGGAGGATGTCAACCCTTTTTGTATAAAAATGGACTCTGCTGAATAATGGTAATTGAATGTACAAATGCAGCTTATAGTCTAGCAGTCTTCAAAATGCAGGATTTCACAAAGGTAAATAGCAACTGATTACTGTAAGGAGGAGGAAAAAAGTCCCAAACCTTTAATGGAGCTTGTTTCTGAGTGATGGCTGGCACCCATCAGGAATGGAGGCAGGTTGCCTGAAATTCTTCAGTGAGATTTCTCTTCCCGAGTGACTTGGGACCCTTAGATTTCTAGTTGTTTCCAGCTGGCTGTAATAGATGAGAGAGCAGGAAATTAGGAGTCATAGAAACTAGCCTGGAAAGTGCTGTTTTCAGTGAGATTTGAAAAGAAATGGTGAATCAATGAGGCAGAAGAGATAGGAGGAGGATTTTAACTGCCCTTCCAGCAATGAAGATGGGGGGGGAAGGGAGAGACATAAATGGTGTATATAAAACACATATCAAAAAAGAGGGGGTTTAGGTTGTGCAGTATTCCAAATGACTTTACTTTCTAGTTTTATTTGGAAACAAAAAGCCTTGCCCAGCTACATGGAGGCAGGAACCACGTTGCACTGTGTTTTTTTCACTCACAGTTTTGTGTTCTGAACAAGATGCTGCAGAAAAGGGTGTGGTGTTACCTGATTACATGTTTGTTTTCCAAAGCTGCTTAGAAGACTTTAAATATAACTTTATCATTGTATGCAGAGCTGGATGCTGCCAGGTTTATGGGATAGCTTGTTTTTTAATTCATGATCCATAACCTATGGTGTGTCTAGCTTAAATGTGGCAATATCCCTCTTCTCAGTTTGAGAAGACCCCCTGCCTTTTTTTAAATCACAGTGTGAAATTGCCTTTGAAGGTTCATTCCTGGTTTCATCAAGCTTTTTTTTTTAAGAGGAAATCTCCTTGAAATTAGTGTGTGTGGGTCTTGGGGGATAAGGGGGGTGTTTTGTTTTTGTTTTTTTTTTTTTTTTGGCATGTGAGATTGTTCTAGGCTTAGGGTGTGTTGGGTGGGAGGAAGGACGAGACACCTAGGAAGTATTTTAAACGGATCAAATGTGGGACAAGTGAGAACACACAACTTGATCAAAGATAGGCTGTATGGTTCCAGGAATGAGAGGTCATGCCTTGCTGACTGGTTGGAATTCCTGAAGCAAGCTGCTGCCAAAAGTAATATGGATTTTGGTGTGTTTTTTGGGGAGGGTAGCACTGGAGATTAATACTGTAGGGACTGATGGACTCTGAAAGTTTATTTTATTGAAGAAAAAAAAACAACCCCAAACCCCAAGAAAACCCTAAACCCAACCTGCAGGAAGGGGAAGGACAGAATAAGGGGGAAAGTGAGATTAATAAGGGGAAGCTGGGTATGGTGGGTTTTTCTTTGTTTTTAAACTTCAGTTTGTCATCTCTCTGACCTACTGAGACACAGAAAATGAAGATCAAAGTTTCTGCTAGACTGTAAATGTAGCCAATGCAGAAGTTAAGCTTTTTGGAGTCAGTTCTGCTTTTCTAAGTCTTGGGCAATAGTGGAATATGATGACTGAGAGTTTATTTTTAATGTGCAAGGGTGACTGGTGTGACACCTGGGGCCCCTGGTCTGCATAATGGTGGTAGATAGTTTAGGAGCGTACCCATACATTTGCATTGTGCTCCCCCCGCTAAAGGCCAGCAAGGAGACAGCGAGCACCTAGAGGCTTTTATAGGGCGAGCTCTTCTTGGCTTAGGACACACATTAGTGCAGTTGTGAAGTGAAGCCTGGTATCTCTCTGCAGTGGGTTGGCATGTGTGTAGCCAAGGTAACTGAAGATCACGCTGATGGTGTAGTAATTACTTCCCGTGGTATTTCTGTGAAAAGCTTTTCTATAAAAAGCACAATGTTTAGCAGCAGAGGTTGAGTTTCACAAGTCCTTGTTCCCACACAATATGTGAGTGTTCACTTCTGTGAGAAAAGGTGAGAAGAACCCGTGTCTCATCTCATCTGAAAGCCTGGAGTCCAGCTTCAGATGGACTTTCTGGAAGATGCTTCTTTTCTAACTGGTGGTCTTGACCAGGTGTTGTCCTTACACTGTGACTGTTACAGAGAATACAGCAGGCACAAGAGGGAAGAGGTAAGGAGGGGCTCCGATTTCCCTGCATTTCCCAGCAGGGAGAATAACTGTTCTTTAGTTGTTTGCACCCATTTCCTGACAAATCTCACCTC